CTGCTGCTATTTGTTCTTTATAATGGCAATACCAAAAAGAATATAGCTTGATTATCATTATGTTATAAACTCCAAAGCTGAATTTATAAGATTTGCAATGGGGAAAAAAAAATCTTTCAGTTTTTTAAGCTGAGCAAAGCTGATCTAGTAATCACAGGTAGCACAGAAACAAGTTATAGAAAACACCTTTTAGAAATGTCTTCATTGCATGAGGGTTCAGCATTTCACCAGAATTACCATTTTTTAAGCAGTCTGCAGCCATGTACTTGTGTTTGATCACAGCTATAAACTGCTTTCTGTTGCCAGATCAGGCAAAAATGTCACTTCTGTCTGCACTCTAAAAGACTATATACATGGATCCTCACAACCCCAAGGTTTCTTTTCATCACATTACATAGACAGAAATTCTTTTTCATAGCTATCATCCTCCACACTGTGGCATTATTACAGTAAGGCATTTTTTTAAAAAGCTGAACTCCTTTTCAACCTACATTTTGCAAAATAAAACCAGTGTAAACTTTCTGTGCATCATCTCTACAAAATTAATGAAGAGGTTATTTGACAAACTGAACAAAGTGTAATTTTAAACGTGAAACTTTTGGGTTTGTTGGGTCAGCGTCTACACGTGCATTACTGCGCATGAGAAAACTCCTCAGCAGTGTAGTACTTGTATTTACAAATACTACTGTCTCTAGTGGGTTATGGAATAGAGAAAATCCCACACAATTTACTGATTCGTTTTGATGCACTGGCTGGGGGAGTAGTTAGCTGATTGCACGATTTCACAATGATTACACACTTAATTTATACAACACAATTTTATTTTAAAACTCTTTGCTACGTATATAACACTGCTTAGCTTTAAGAAACACCACAAACATTAAAAACACAATAATTACATATATCAGAAACAATGCTCTGAATGCACTTCCTTCCCAAACAATGCTATAAGAATTAGTTACAAAAACAACTACAATCACAACTAAAAGTTAAATTTGAATCAATACTGTTATTTTTCATAATATACTTACAGTCCTAGAATTCCGAGAAGCCAAATACCAAAATATGGTTTCATTCCTCAGTAGTACGATTTAATGGGTTGGCCTCAGTAGTACGGTTCAATAGGCTGGCCTCAGCAATACGATTCAATGAGCTGGGCTCACCAGTGATAGGACTACGTCCCCTTCCTTCAGTCCCTTTCAGGTGCTCCGCGGCTTCAGCGTGAACTAAGAGATTCGTGTTCACGGAGAGGCTTGATTAGGCGATCAATCTAATCTGAACTTATACTTGCGATTCTTCCTTCGTTGTTCTGCAAGTCAAGTCACCTCCAAATTGGGACAGTAAGTTACAGGTTTTTATTGAGTGAGCTGCCGTCAGTGGGCTCCTCCTACTCAACTTATCATAACTCCCAAATTTGGGCTCGGATCTTACTCAACAGAAATTACCTTTGTTGAGCATTTTAAATTATTCTTGGGGAGACTTCCATATCACTGTAAATACTTTTTCTTAGCAATTTGGTTAAAAGGCCTTAGGCTTTGATGTCTTGGAATTCAGGATATTTGCTTTCTTTGTAAAAAACTTCTAAAGATACAATTTAAATTAAGACTTTAAGTGAAGTCAGGACATTTCGCACGTAGCTCCGAAACAATGAGCTAGATAAGGAGATAAATCCTATCTTCTTCCTGAAACTGGCTAATGGGCAACCTTTACAAACATTCAAACTATTTCATTCAATATGACAACTACCCTGATGCAGAGTTTATTCCTGCTCCCTAATAGGTGTGCACATTTAGACACCACGATGTTTACTGTGGAACTAATTAGTCAGCTCTGCAGTATGTCTCTCATGTAGATGCGCCCCGTCACTTAACAAAATTACATTTTACTTTGTATGTATTATTCAGTTACAGTGATTGCTTTGTATAATCAACCAATTTGTAAAATAAATAGTGACCATAACATAATCACATTCAACATTCAAGTGGGAGGGTAAGCCAAAAAAGGTTGACTACACCTTTTATATACAGTTTTAAGATGGGAAATTACAGAAAAATGAGGAAGTTAGAAGTTTAAAGGAGCAGTCAGCAATGTTAAAAGCCTGCAGGAAGCTGGAAGCTCTTTAAAAATACCATATTAGAGGCTCAGGAAAAGAGCATGCCACAAATCAAAAAGGGTACCAAACGGTCCAATAAATTTCATAGATTTCATAGACATTAGGGCTGGAAGGGACCTCGGAAGATCATCGAGTCCAGCCCCCTGCCCAAAGGGGATAAAACCTTTGCATGGTACAATAGCCGGGTTAAGGAGGCATTCAAACCAAAAAGGCATCCTTTAAAAAATGGAAGGTGTGCCCAAATGAGGAAAACAAGAAAGGTCACAACTCTGGCAAGTCAAGTTTAAAATTAAAATGAAACAAGCCAAAAAAGAATTTGAGCAACATCTAACAAAATATGCTAAAGTTAATAATAGGCAGACAAGGTTCCTTGGGTGAATTTGATATCTTTTATTAGACCAACCCAAATAGTTGGAGAATAGTTATTAAGCAGTCTTTCGGGTTCAAAAACCCTTCGTCAGGCTAAGAAAGTTTCAGCAGTTGGTGTGTGCTCTTTCTGGATGGAAAGTTAATAATATAATTTTAAAAAATACATCAGAAACAGGAAGCCAGATAGAGAATCGGTGGTGACCAGAGTGCAAAAGGTGCACTATGGGATGATGAGGCCATAGCAGAGAAACTAAACAAACTCTTTGTCTTGATGTTTACCACAGAAGATACTGGGGAAATTCCCATGCCAGATCAATCTTTCTAGTAGATGGATCTGAAGAGTTGGACCACTCAAGTTCAAACAAGAGTTCTGAAGAATTCAAAAGTGAACTTGCAGAATTGCTGGTAATAATATGTAACCTATTGTTACAAACAGCCTCCATGCCAGAAGACTGGCAGATTGCCAACATAACATCTATGTTCAAAAAAGGCTCCAAAGGCAATCCTGCGAACTACGGCCCAGTGACTCTTACTTTCATACCTGGCAAGTTGGTAAAAACTACAGTAAAGGATAAAATCAGCAGTCACATGGACAAATATGATCTGCTGGGGAGGAGTTAACATGGTTTTTGTAAAAGCAAATCCAGCCTCACTGACATGCTGAAGTTCTTTGAGGGTGTCAACAAGTACGCGAACAAGGAGGATTTGGTTGACATAATATTTTTGGATTTTCAAAAAGCATTCAACAAGGTCCCTCACCAAGGACCTTTTGAAAAACCTGCATTGCCATAGGATCAGAGGAAAGGTTCTTACATGGACTGAGAGCTGGTTAAAAGATAGAAAGCAAATATAGGGCTAAATGGTCACCTTTCAGGATGGAGGGAGGTCAAAAGTAGGGTCCCACAGAGATTTGTGCTAGGGCCCATTTTGTTTAACATTTTCATCAATGACCTGGAAATGAGATTATGCAGTAAAATATCCAGATTTGTAGATGATACCAAATTATTCTGTGTAGCCAAGTCCCCAGCTGATGGAGACAAGCTGTAGAAAGATCTCACCAAGCTAAGTAAGAAGGCAAAAAAATAGCACATTAACTTCAGTGTTGACAAGGGCTGATAATGCATAGGTGATGTGTGCCTCCTGAGGTTGCGGGGGCATGGCGACTGCCCACAGGTGGCCATGTGAGCATCAGTAGTGAGGGAAGGCCGAGTGGGGACCGTCTGCAGGTGGCTGTGGCGGCGTTGGCAGGGGGGTCCCCCCCGCAGCCAATCGCTGACAGGGGGAGTCCCCCCGCAGCCAGATGCTGAGCCCAGAAGTGCCAGCAGCACTTCTCAGCGGGGCACCTTCTCAGGGGGGCACATGAAGCAGTTGTCATACCAGGAGAGACTAAAAAAGGCTAGGACTCTTCAGTTTGGAATGGAGAAGGCTGGGGGGATATAATGGAGGTCCATGATATCATGAAGGGTACGGACCAAGTGAACAAAGAACTGTTGTTCACTAGGTCCCAGAATACTAGCCATAGGGAGAACCCTTTGAAATTAGTAGGTGACAGGTCACTAACAAGAGAAAGAAGATAAAACGTGTAGTAACTTGTGGGATTCATTGCCACAGGAAGTGGTGGAGGCAGGTAGCATAGCCAGGCTCAAAAAGTGACTGGATAAATTCATGGATGATAGCTCTGTTCATGGGTAGTGAAAAGAACAGTTATGCTGTGTCCACACAAGCGTGGATGTTTGTTTCCCTGGGGACAAGAAGCAGCGGCACACCTTGTGCTGCTACTAGTTGTCCCCGCGAAATGCCTGTGCCATGCACCCTCTGATGTGCAGCTGGTTATCCCAGGTGGGGTAGGGGAAGCTGTGGCCAGCACTGGGCTGTCCACAGCAGCCTTACCGGGGCTCCTGGGCTTCTGCTGGGGCTGTAGCAGCAGCAATCCTGCCACTTGGAGCCTGGCTGGGAGCCAGAGTGTGGATCCAGCCAGGCAGACTCTGGTTTTAGGAGGCACGAGCTGTCCCCATCTGCACCACCCTGGTTTTTTTCATGGTTTTTCTTCACCCCAGGATTTCCCATGGTCAACCCTGCCCACCCCCCCAACCCCCTGCCCCCCCACTCCCGTGCTGCTATTTTGAAGCATGGAGTACACCTGAATGTGCAGTACATGGCACTGCAGACATACCTGCGGTGCCAAATACTGCACTGCTACTCTTGTCTGGATGTGGCCTTAGAGGTGTTTCCTCTGGCATCTCTAACCCACCAATAAAAGGTGGATGCCAGGGAGGGTATTGAACAGGGTACTGATCACTCTAGAGGTTGTGCGGGCCGGGAACGATCCGGGCCCTTTTTCGCGCGGCGCGGGCTGTGGCCAGCAGCCTGGGCAAGCTGGGTCAGAGAAAACAGGTGACACGCTAGAATTAGTCACAGATGCGTAATGGTTGATTCAAGATTGTTTACTTACACCGAAGATGGTCGCAGTGTAGGCTGGACAGTTTCCCAGGCACAGCTCCGCTTAAATCCTCGTTTGAGGACTCAGACAATATTCGATCACTCCCACGGAGTTGTCGAGGCTCCGTGGATCCTTTTGCGCGCAGGGAGAGGGATACGTCAAGGACTGCGAACAGCGACGGGGAGAGGCTAGAGGCTGATCAGACCCCTGTTGCCTGCTTGGAATGCGCTGGGTTCAATAGGCTCCGCAGCGCTTAGAGATCTTCACACAGCATGAAGTCTCCTCCTCCTGGTGTTCGTGGAGCCCTCCAACTTGGGCGGAAACCACTCAAGCTTTTTATACGGCTAGCAAGCCAATCACTAGCAGCCACGTGTGAATAATTTC